GGATCAGAGTCTGCATCCAAACATCAGCACATCTTAGAACATTTAAAGCTTTGTTTCTAAAACCACAAAATGTTTTTATATAAAAAATGAAGAAAAAATATTGTATTTTTCCCTAAAAATAGTCTTAAAATAAATTAGTCAACTGAATTTAATTAAACTTACTCTACCTTTATTTTAATAGCACTGTTTAAACTCAGTTGTAACTCAAAATGATTAACAAATCAAATACGTAAAAAAAACTGAGGTATAAAACTAATAACTGTAYGAAAATGAAACAAGTGCAATAAAAGTAACATGAAACCAGTTAAAATAAAATCACAAATCAGTGATAAAACATATTAAAACAGGCATGCAGGCTCTTCAATGAAAAAAGTGGGATTTAAAAATAAGCTCCAAGTCAGAAACCCAGACTCATTGGTATATCAGATCTTTTATTTAATTAAAAAAAGTAATAAAATATTGTAATAATGCTGTGGTCATCAACAGAACATATTTTGACTCATATAACTTTATTATTTTTTTAATTTTCTGAAAATCATCTGAAGACCTCAAACGTGATGACCCATAGTTTGGGAATCAACTTTCTAAAAGCTCTCGAAACACAATGATTACGATCAGACTTGAGTATTCTAAACATAAAATTCTGTTAGTTTGATGTTTTCTTATATCTCTTTAGAGATAAATAAGACTGAAGAGGTAAAGAACTAATTAGATTTTGTTTATATTCTCATTTGCACAGAGAACATGAACTGAAACACCATCTTTTTGCTTTTACAGTTTGTTCTGTAGGGTTTTGAGTTTATTTCTTTGTGTTTTATTATATTCAGGTTTGTGTCTACGTCATGTCTCCTGTGTGCAGTTCCTCAGTGTTTCTCWCCCTCTGTGTCCACGTGCCCCTTCTTCTCCTGCTTATCTCCTTCAGGTGTTTGTCATTTCAGTTCATTAAGCTCCCCTTTAGTATCAGTGTGTGTCTCTCCTTCCTTGGGGCTTCATATGCTCTTCTCCTCTGTATCGTTGAGTATCCTATGAGTATTTTTGCTTCCTTGCCAGCTTTGTGTTTATTTTTTTATTAAAACCTGATCTGTTATCCTTTTTTTTTTTTTTTACAACTGAGCTCTTCGAGTTTTTGTGCCTCTTCCCCAGGTGATGTATCTGCTAACATTTTGTTGATTTCTTTGACCTGCTCAAATAAACTGGGATCTATTCAGTTTTCATCACTAACTCAACAGAGCAGAAGCCACCTCTTGAAAATGTTAACCTTTTCCCACTGGATTGACACAATTCCTTCACCCTTTTGCAAAATAGTTAACACAGATGTAATTCTAGCAGTCCAAACTCTGTTGTTTTAGCTCTGGTAACCAAACAGAAACCATCCGTTCCTGACTATTAGAAGCTACCTATGAAATTTCACAAAAATCTTCACTTAGCAATCAGTCTTCAGGCATTTAAAAGGTGGCACGTCTGTGTTATTCAGCATGGATAGAGGAGGTCCAAGGATTCAGAAGAAGAGGAATCTGTGTGCAAGGTTGTAGATGTGACACATCAACCTATCCAACAACACATCATGTGTTGTTGGATAGGCTCAAGTTTCAGAAGAAATTTGTGCATCTGTATTTTCCCTAATAGACTTGAATTTGGTTTACATTTATAGTATTTTGTGTAATATTTACAGTATTTCAGCCACAGTTTGAAATATATATATATATACAGTATATT